CTTTCTCCATACTAATATATGCTTAATGTTTCTTTTCGGAATTAATATTGTCTTCTTTTTTCTCATTTTCTTTCTTTCTTTCTTTCTTTCTTTCTTTCTTTCTTTCTTTCTCTATACTAATATATGCTTAATGTTTCTTTTCAGAATTAATATTGTCTTCATTCTTTCTTTCTTTCTTTCTTTCTCGATGCTAATATATGCTTATTTCATTTCAGCCTCAATACCAATATTTCTTTCTTTCTTTCTTTCTTTCTTTCTTTCTTTCTTTCCTTTCTTTCTTTCTCCATACTAATATATGCTCAATGTTTCTTTTCAGAATTAATATTGTCTTCATTCTTTCTTTCTTTCTTTCTTTCTTTCTTTCTTTCTTTCTTTCTTTCTCGATGCTAATATATGCTTATTTCATTTCAGCCTCAATACCAATATTTCTTTCTTTCTTTCTTTCTTTCTTTCTTTCTTTCTTTCTTTCTTTCTTTCTTTCTCCATACTAATATATGCTTAATGTTTCTTTTCAGAATTAATATTGTCTTCTTTCTTTCTTTCTTTCTTTCTTTCTTTCTTTCTTTCTTTCTTTCTTTCTTTCTTTCTTTCTCGATGCTAATATATGCTTATTTCATTTCAGCCTCAATACCAATATTTCTTTCTTTCTTTCTTTCTTTCTTTCTTTCTTTCTTTCTTTCTTTCTTTCTTTCTTTCTTTTATCTACCCTCTCACTCTTAATGACACATATACAGTTCTTCTTTCCCACTCCCTTTAAACATTCTGTACAAATCGCTTTAACGCACCGTTAAACAACATCGGGCTGTTCGTTATCATTGGATCGCTTCTCCCTGCAATAATGTTGATCTATTTATCGACACCGATTGGAAGCTGAGTGGCTATAGAACGCCACTATTATTTCTGACAAACTGTTTTGAGTACGTCATTATCCATTCCCAATTTCCTTTCATTCTCTGTCGGAGAAATTGTGCCTGAATTCATAGGGAGAAAAGGGAGCATGATTTTCCTTCCTTTAGTTTAACTCGATTCAACCGATCTCCCTCAACGAGCAAAAATGCGCTCTGGGACGAAACCCAGCGGAGAATACATCTTTGTGCTATTTTTAGTTCAGCGATAAAAAAATAAAAAAAAAATATGCGCAAAAAAGTGAACATCTCACAAGAAAATTTGAATTTTATCTCTTCTAAGCAATCAAAATAGATATAAG